TTTTAAAATAATAATCTATTCATTCTTAGGTAGCTAAAAAAAGTGTAGAATGAAAAAAATCTCAAGTAGGTCTTCGGACTGAGGGAATAAATGTACACTATGTTCCCATTGGAGCATAATACAAGCACTCTTCAAATTTCATCAGAACTTATGATGAGGTCAGGAAAATGACATGAATCCCCAACTGGAAACTTCATTTCCATTATCTTAAATTCTTCTTCCAAATGCCCCTTCCAAGGGGTCAATCATATGTATTTTTTTTTTGTGTTTTAAACCCAGTAAAAACACTAGAATCTTTGCAACAATCCATAAAAATAAAAAAAATATTTGTTTCCATTTCTTGTAGCAAGCCAAGAAAGAACAAGTCAATTAAGCAAAAGGGCAACTCTCCCGTCCAAATCATGACAGTGGTTCAAATTAAATATAATCACATCCAATCACTAAAATAGAGCTCCTTATTTTATTTAAAAATATTATCTATTTGAAATTTAGTTTATAGATGAATTTTTATATAGTACACTAAATAAAAATAATTTAAAAATATTTTGAACATATAAATTGATCAAAATATCTTTAGATTATTTTAGGGGCATCAAAGTTAATGTGTTTGTTTAAAATATTTTTATTTATTTATTTAATTCACAAAATAAAAATATAATTTAATATAAATATTATTTTAAATAAAAAATAAAATATGAAACTGCCGTTGCTTATCAATTGGATCACACTGGGCATCGTTTGGGCCATTGAAGGGTGTGCTTGTGCACCCTTTAAGAACTTATCTAACAATACTCTCTCTCTCTCTCTCTCTCTGTGGGGCCATTTTCCAGTAACCAAAAGTATGAGGGCATAAACAATGAAATTAAGGCGAACCTTCAGATGCTATTGAAAGATGTTTCAGTACTAGAAATCTTCGTGACGGCCTTAAAATTTATTTTATTTATAATTATAAAATTTAAAGCTTAAAAAATAGTGCAGATAGAGCAGATTTATAGATATTTGAAAATTGACGGTCTGGAAAACGTATTACTAGATGCACTATTTTCTCATGTCCATACATTTTGAGGTCGAGATGGTTGATTTGATGATTTTTGAGCATCGAAACAACCTCTTGTAGTATTTTTTGTGGTGCGCCTTAACTTGATTGTATAGAGCTTCACCCTTATAGTAACTTTTTCCTTTAGATTGTATTTTAGTTTCTTTCAGTGTTTCATGACTTGGTCTAGCGACTAAGACTCGCCTGAGTTATTTGGTCTTGGCTATGGGCAAATACCTATCTATCTCTATGGGTCAAAAAAAAAAAACAACTTTAGTTTTAGACTTGGCACAACCCAAAGTCATCATTTCCTATAGATCAAACAACCAAAGGATAGGCATATCGAACAAATTCCCATTGAAATAGAATCTACATAAAGAAAAGCACTTGCCATTCGTTGATTATTAGGGGTATCCTAAAAATGTTATGAGGTGAACTCGTTCGAGTAATGTTCGCACTCGTTTGATATTGTTGAACCCGGGAGTTTTTTTTTTTTTGGTAATTCGGTGAGGAAGACATTGCCCTACCCATTTTTTTCTTGTGTATTAGGAAGTTAGCTTTTTTAAAGGTGTCTCAGCATGAGTTTTCTCCATGACTATTCAACCATTAGGGCCATATGTAAATGTTGTTACTTTCTTACTCTTCAACCTATTGATTAGAATTCAAGTAATGACCACTAAAATTACATTTATGCATGAAAATCACATTTCTAATTTAAGGAAAAGTAGGAAAACATTATATCTTAATCCTCTTGATGTAGGAGATACGTGGTCATGAGGGCCATCAACGCCCAATCAATGGCTTGGACGGTTATAGATAAGGAAATGTATACAATGAGACCACTTACAATCATCATTGGCTGTTAGATTTGAAATCCGGTCGTTGAGGATGTATCAATGTTTAGGCACAAAGTTAAAACAAAATTTTTCAGATGTTGTGATACACTTTCATCTATTGAATTTTATATTCAATGGTTAAAAAAAATTGTGACCTCCTCGCACCAAAAATAAATAGTAAACCTACCATCCAAGTAAACCGGGCTTGAGGATTGAAACACGGATGCAATGTGACTCAGGGCTGTGTTTGTTGTGCTGTGGTTTTACAAAATTTAGCAAAGGGAAAATATTGTATAGACCCTCATTTTTCAAATTTAGACAATATATTTATTTAAAACCTTTCAATGTACACCCGCATCCCCTCCCTCCCCATTTTCTCACCTTTTTACATGCATTGACATCAACAATTTATCTCATACCACGGAAGGACATCTTCCTCCCATCTCAATTTTACCTCACGTGCTATAAGAGTAATTGTTGATGCCAAATTTCAAGTTAAAAAGTAGGAAAATAAGGGATAGAGGGATGATAGGGTAGTTTTAGCGAAAATTTAATGCCGTTGGAATGGGAAAATTTAAGAGGGGTTAATGTAAAATAAGTTTAGAAATTGGTGGCCCATACGATATTTTGTGTTTAGTAAAAGCCATTCCTCAAAACCCCTATAGAAAATGATGTTTTGATTCTAGAAACCCCTGTGATGAGACTAAATGCACAAAACTATTTTCTCCCCTGATTGTTTAGCTTGAATCTCCAAAAATCTCTAAAATGATGCAAATATTGTGGATTTGTGAAGATGGTCCAGAAAATATGATTCAACACATAACGCTTTAGGCTTGAGGTTTAATTTTCTATTCAGATCCATGGATTCCAAGATGGAATGATCTATTTACAACTTTTCTAGTGCCAAAGTTGGACTTTCGAGTAAGTTTGGGGCCGTTTGGATGTCAATTAATTTTATCTGAAATATTCTACTTCATGTGAAATTAATGACTTAGGAAATATTATTTTGTAAGCTGTTTAATAACTTTTTAAAAGATTTTCAACTATTTTTTGCTAAAACATATAATTTTCTACAAATTACTTTGAATAAAGTATAATAAGTTTTTCAAAAAGATAAACTTATATGTAAAACTGTAGGTAAGTTTCTCTTGTATAACTTTATAATGGACACTTCTGAATATGAGATATTCATTATCACCATTAGTTTTATTGATGGAAAAAGTTTATATAAGGATGCAACCTTATAATGTAGAACTACGAGTGCACCTAAAAAATCCATCGAAAAGGTAGTTTTAATGTTGAAAAACCCTTTGATTGATTATCTTGATATCGAGATGTATGACCATGAAAAATAAAAGTATTTTAAATCTCAGAAATAGTGCATTTTACAACATATTATCTACACCGTCCATTTTCAAGATTTTTATATGTTTATAGATCTACTTGTTTTTAACCATTTTTGAAATTTAAAATTTTATAATTGGATATAAAAATAGATTTTGAGATAGTTCTAAGAACATTTTACATCAAAATTATATACCATGATAAAATTTGAAGGTGCACCTTACCTCTATAGCTACGGATGCATCTGTATGCCAACTGCACCCTTTATTGATACAGTGATTTGTAATGGGTACATCCAAAAATACCCTTGATGTGCGACTCAATAAGGAGGCAACCCTACTAAATATTTCCCCATTTTTCATTGACAATGAAAGGAAGGAGGTGAAGTACCTTGTATCATCTTACTCCTACAGATGGAAGAATGCAAGATATATGTCCTCTTGCTGCTAATTCTTGGGCCAGCTAAGAAACCTAGTTTGATCCTATAATGATATCACCTAATGTGAGAAATCAAGGTTTAGGACCATGTCATCCATGGAGAGAGAATAATGTCTTGTGGTTCTTTTCTTGGTGATTTGTTTATATGCTTAGTTATGTGGTTCTTTTTTTGGTGATATGTTTAGATGCTTATTTATGGATGAGTAGGGTTGAGAATTTACCTGGTTTGGATCCTATACTCAAATTTTGAATCTTATTATGAGCTGGTATGGATTTAATTTTTGGATCCCACGGATTGGATCTACATCCAAAAAGTGCATATGATAGTAATTCAGATAGGATCCCAATATAGGTGGATCCAATCTGGAATCTAATTCAGATTCATATCTGATCCAATTATTCAAATATTATACATTTTTTTTAGTAATTTTGTTATATATTATTTTATAAATATAAAATAATATAGAAAATAATTTTTTGAATCTGATTGAATATGGATCTGGATCCCATGTATACTTTTTGGATGTGGATCCAAATCCAAATATTCTGGATATGATCGGATCTGAATCCAAATCTAGATCCCATGTATACTTTTTAGATCCAGATCTAGATCTGATCCGACTCATTCTAGGTGGATGAGAGAGAGAGAGAGCGAGTTAGTTCCAATGAGATTTTTGTTTTGATCCTATTGTGATGCCATCTAGTGTGAGGAACCAAGGTTTATGATATTTTTGTCATGATCCTATAAAGATGCCATGTAGTGTGAAAAAGGTTTAGCGCTGGGGCATCTACAGAGAGAACAATGGTCTAACGTTCTTTTGGTTCTCATATATTTATATTCTTGCAGGCATGCGGCTTATGGATGTACATGCATTTATGGAATCTTTTAGTCTTAAAATAGAAGTTATATGTTTTAGATATGCTCTTAGAGAATGGTGATTAATATATGATTTTCAATGTAATTTTTTAAAAATTCTATAAAAGGTGATGTTTTACATTACAAAACTAGAAGTGTATCATACCGAAATCTAATGGTTGAGATTCTGCCTGTTTACATTACAAAACTACTAGTGTATCATACCAAAATGCAGCTTTAGCTTTTGTTTTTTCTTTTCTTATTTTATTTTTCAGCTTTTCAACCAATGGCAGTGAGGGACATGCAAAGTTGTCTGGGAAAATCCGGACCATCCATTCCTCAGTCCATCAAAAAGTTTTGGAAGGTGCAGCAAATATATATAGCATATGCGACATGCATTTTCAACCATCCGTTCAAAACAGAGGATAGGACAGTTGTGATAAACTAGTATTCTCATTTCACGGGTTCATCTTGACCGTCCTTGTCCACAATGGTCATTGAGGGTACTTGTTACATAGTATTTATTGTACATGTATCATACTGTATAACTTCCTCAAGTTTTGATAGAGAAAGTTTTGGACAATGTACATGGAGCCTATGTAGAGAGTTCATTCGGATTTGCACTCTAAATAGAACAGAGAGAGAGAGAAGGGTGAGAAGGGAAGAGTCTGTGTTACAGGTGCAGGCGGGTATTGTGCTTCTTGGGTGGTGAAGCTTCTTCTCTCGAAGGGATACACCGTACACGAAACCGTTCGAGATCCAGGTATATATAAACTAGTGATTTAAAAAATTTATCAGCAGAGTGAGATTAGAACTGGGGATCTCTAGTTCTTGATGCATTAGTGATTAAAAAATTGCCGATCCAATTTGGAATTAACTAAGTGCGGCCGAAATCGGAGGGTACCGGTTCTTGCTACTCCAGGATTAGAGAATTGTGTTCATTTGACATGAATCGGGTAATTCACTGTTGTGATTCCCTGTTTATATTATAGACTCGAGTGTTTGCTAAGTTTGAGCATATTGTTTTATTTTTTATTAAGTGAAGAGTGAAAAGAGAAATACGGTAAGAGGGTCAAACATTTTGAAAGAGATACTCTAAAGAAGTAGAAATTAGCAAGGTTCTTTTCTTCTTCTTTCTAACCTTTTTATTTATTTGCAAAATTCTTCTAAAATTTTCTTAAATTTCTAATGGAAATGAGGTTTATTTAACCATGCACGCTGATTATATGAAGAAAGACTACATATTTAATTATTATAAAAAATGGGTAAATATTGTCTTGAAAAAATGATATATCTTGTCTAGGATAAGAGAGATTGTAACATCATTTGTTTCTTAATTTTACCCAATTTTACATTCCATTTCTCAACATTTTTTTTTTGTTATTTTTTGTTTAATTCATTATTATGTCCATGTTATGGATTTCTTTATAGATGATGAAAAGAAGAATGGGCATTTAAAGAAAATGGAAAATTCATCAAATCTTCAGCTCTTCCATGCAGATGTCATGGACTATGATTCTCTCTCTAGAGCCATCTCAGGATGTGAGGGAGTATTTCATGCAGCAAGTCCAGTCCCATCTGGTCAACTTACAGATTTCCAGGCACGCCTACTACCTTAAGAACATAGTCACCCAAAAAAAAAAAAAAAAAAAAACGGTATAAAACTAAGGTAATTAGTTCCTATTAATTCCAAAAAATATTTCATGAGTCTTGGTATCATAAGCGTTCACGGCCGTCCGATGACTACCCATCTTCAAATTGTGGCACGAGTAACTAAGGAAACCTATGCAATAAGACCGTTTTCCTCTTGTACAACGGTTAGATGTGAAATCTAGGGCTAAGAATGGGTCGGATAGGGTCTGGATCCATGGGGATCTAGATTCTCTTAAAAGTATACATGAGATCTGGATCCAAATCAGGATCTGAACCCGATTGGATAAAAAAATAATCTTATGTATTACTTTATATTTATAAATAATATAAAATAAAGTATAACAAAAGTACTATATTGGGAAAAGTTTATATAGAGCCGAGGCTCTAAACAATGAAGTTGGAGCCTACCACACAAATTTAACTCGACATCAAGATATATGGACATGAGAAAAAAATGTATTTCAAGTTTTGAAAATAGTGTATTTTGTAACGCATTTTTGGACCGTCAATTTTCAAGTTTTCATAAATATGCCGATCTACACTATTTTTGAAGCTTTAAACTTTTGAAATAATGATGAAAATTTGTTTCAACGCTATGAAACCATATTTCTCGACACCATTTGATGGTAGGCTCTCATTTGATTATTTAGAGCCTAGGCTCTATGCAAACCGCATCCTATAATATATATATATAATATTTTAATAGCTTAGCCGGATTTAGATCGGATCCACCTGTACTCGGATCCAATCCAAATTTCTATTCAGACATAAATTTTGGATATGAATCTGAACTGTCGGATCCAAATCTTTGATCCATACATGGATCCAGTTAAGAGTGAAATTTGGGTTTTGGGTTTCGGATTCAGATCAGGAAAATTCTACCCTCTAGTGAAATCTAATGGTTAGGGGTGTCCTATTGATGTCTTCTGAGTTTAATAAATTTTTCTTGAACTTTGTGATTTACCATTGGACACTTAATTTTACATTTAGGGCAAGAATGGTTGTGACCTGGTGTGAAAAAGAAAAAGTATTATGACATACACATAGGGTTCGAAATTTGGATTTCAGATTCAAATAAGGTAAATTCTGAGCACTCGTGAAATCTAGTGGTTAGGTGTGCTATTGATTTCTTCTGAGTTCGATAATTTTTTTTTGAACTTTGTGATTTACCCTTGTCCCTTAATTTCACGTCATGGGGTTAAGAGTGGTTGTGACCTTGCCTGAAAAAAGGAAAAAGTCTAGTGACGTATAATTCTGTATCTACAACGGCAAGTACCTTTTGGGGCGTCTGATTCATGGAAAAGAGGCATTCCAAAGCTTCCTCTCCTATGCACTTTGGAAGCTGCGACTTCTCCAAACACTGTCTCTTTGATATTGATTTGCAAGCTTAATGTAGGAAGTGCAATTGTGATGGAAGCCATGACTTCTGGCAGCCGTACCTTCCAATAAACAAGCACACTTGCTTCTCAAACTTGGGTAGGATTCAATAGCTGTAGATTCTTACAGCATGTAACAAATTTGAAATTCATGCCTCCTAGGTCTCTTTATTTGAAAGAAGATCTATCAAATTTTTTTTTTTTTTTGTGGTGAGTCAGTGGGAAAGAAGGTCCCTACCGTTTTTATTAAACAATAATAAAGAGAAATACAATTCACAAATTTACAGCCCTTCGATATGGCAATTGTGCAACATCATTCAAATTTTAGATGAAAATCTCTCTCTCTTTCTCTCTCTCTCCGTGTTTGTGCGCATGCGCATGCGTGCTGGTGTGTTTGTGTTTACATGAGTATAAAATTTTTTATAGAATCTCAAACACCTTTGTTTCGGCCATGGCAGAAAGAATTGGTGGATCCACCAGTAAAGGGAGCACTGAATGTGCTAAAAGCATCTCATGAGGCAGGAATCAAAAGAGTTGTGCTTGTGTCTTCAATGGCCGCTGTAGTAAACAATCCGAAGTGGCCCAAGGATATACATATGGATGAGACTTGCTGGTCCGAGATGCCATCTTGCAAAACAGCCGAGGTGACGAACTAATTTAGAGAAAAGAAAAATATTTCTCTTTCGGAACTGAGGTTCAAAAAATGGGTATAACGGACGTAACGGAGTGAATTTGTTTTTGCTTTATAGTGGCATTGGCTGCTATAGAGCAAAAACTATGTTTTGCCCTAAAAAAAAGGAAGAAAGTGAAAGGGGAGAAATGGTGAAAAGGGAGAAAAAGATGTGGAAACGTTTGAAAAAAATGCGTTCTGTTTGAACTTTTCAGTAAGGATCTATTTCTACTTGAAATCAGGGGTGTTAAACTATTTTGTAACAGAATATTTACAATAAAAATGGAAATATTTTCACGTAGTGGTTGTGTTTTAAATCACAAAACTGTCACATTAAAGGATTCACCTATGGTTAGGTATATGGGCCAGTGTTATCAGAGCCAAGTTAAACTGGTCCAAAAGGTTAGACTACCAACTTAACCTTAAACCAGTTTGATTCAATAAAAAGCTGGATTTTGAGAATAGTTAGATTTTTCTAGGAGCATATGATTTTTTTAAGTACTCACCAGAAGCATATAATTTTGTTGGCATGTCCCTAGCTTTTTCTAGTTTTCGCTAAGAACTACGGCTGCCAACCGGGTCAGCACAGCCTATGGGCCTCCACTCTGGCTCTAGCTCTGGTTTTGGGCAGGATTTGGCCTTATTGCATGGACAAGAAATGTTGGACCCTAATTTTGGGTCGGGCTAGGGCTTGCTCACTGGACTAAAATTTAAACAATACACACACATGTAACAGCTATTTAAGATATACATTTATAACACCAAAGACAAGCTCAAGGCTAAATTGGGCTTGGCTTGAGCTTGGGTCCAACCAAGCCCAATTTAGGCTTGAACTTGGGCCCAAACAATAAAATATCTGGCCAAATCTAGCCCAGCCTGTTGGCAGCCCTACTAAGTAAAAACATCTATTTAAATTTCCTTAGTTGCTATTGTAATGAATTTTTCATTATATATTATATATATATATATATATATATATATATATATATATATATATT